GGAGTTATAGACAGCAAACATGTTGATGGCCATGAGCTGCAGCATGCGGGGGCTCCCGACCGGGGAGGGGCTGTGCGCCAGCAGCGCCCGAAACTCGCTCAGGACCTCGGCGGCCACAGCAGAGAACGTCTCCATCCTGCGGGGGAGGAGAAAGAGACAAGGGGGGGTCAATGCTGGAGTCCCCCAGACCTAACACCCCTCTTGCTCCCCCAACAGGCTGAGAGCTCTGCGGGACCCCACTCCAAAAGGGGGAAAGAAAAAAGGCCGGGGGGGGGGAGGGGCCGCTCCAGAGCTGCGATGGAAGAAGCCGGCCAGACCTGGCCTGCTCTCCAGGGGTGGCCGGCCTCTCCTGAGGGATCCGATTAAAGGGCTGATTTAATCCAAAGCAAGGGCTGCTGCCGCCTCACACCTAGCCGGGCCGCCACCTTGAAAGACGGGAAGGTCTCGACAGGTTTTGGCCCAGAAAGAGAAAGAGAGAGAGAGAGAGAGAGAGAGAGAGAGCACCAGGGGAGAGTTTTCGCTGCCACCCTGCCCTAAGAGAGGTCTTCCTGGCTGGATGGCGACAGAGAAGGAGCCCAGAGCCGCTCCCTTCCAGGGGCTGTTTTGATCCCGTCATGCCCCAGCCTCTGCAGCCCCGGCACGAGGAAGCGCTGCTGCCCAGCTTGGAGGTGGGGGGGGGGCAGTCAGGAGCTCGAGGGGACGTCCACACCTTCCACCTCCGTGGAGTTCGGCCAAAGGGTGAGGCAGAAGCAGCCAAGGCCCACGGAGACCGCTCTGCTGACAGGAGAGCAACCCCCCCCCGGCCCGGCAAGCGACGAAGCCTGGCCGACAAAAGGGGGGTCCTCCCCCTTCAGCCGGAAGAGCCCTCTGTCCCCTGGAACCTCGTCCTCTACAGAAAAAGATGGGGTGGGCCAGCAAGGGCTGAGCCAGAAGCCCAAACAGCCCAGGATGAAGGGGACACCCTTGGCTCTGCCCGGTGGAGGTGCGGATGGCGAGCCCCCCCACACCAGCCCCCCCCCAAGGGCAGGGCTGCACACAGGCAGCTTTAGAGATGGTGTGGGGGTGGGTGGTGCCCTCTGCTGCTGCCACCGCTGCCACCCCTTGGGGGGGGAACCCGGACGCAGCCAAGAAGCAGAGCTCCTGTGGGAGGGTGGGAGGCTTTGCCCCGCCCCCCCCCAAAAAACCCTGAAGAACGCAAGAGGGCATCTAGGCAAATCCCCTGCTCTTCCCCCCACACACACACACACAGACACACACTTCTTAGGGAGGAGGGGGAAGGGGCTGGACCTGCAAGGGCCCAGGAATCAGGCAAGCCTCTCCCTTCTGTGGCTCTCCTGGGTCAGAGATCCAGAGGTTAAGGAGACACAGACCGGCTGCTAGGAAGGCAAAGGAGGGCAGGACACCCTGAGAGAAAAGCTCCCGGGATGCGACTCCATGACCCCCTCGCGACCCCCCCCTCCCAACCATCCCATGTCCTACGTGCATCAGGGCCTTCAAAAGAGTGACTACCCCCCCATCGAAGGGCTTCGGCCATGAAGCCCTCGGTCGTTTCC